CGGCGACCCTTACGAGACCCAGAACCCCGCACAGCGCGAACACCGCGCCGACCAGACGAGGGAGGGTCCGCAGGAGCCAAACCCGAACCTGACACCAGAGGCCTACCACGACAAAAGGAACCCCGAGCCCTGGCACGACCTTTCGGGAAGACCCACCCCGGGACCCCCGGAAAACCAACAAGTCCGACATCGGACGATAAGCCGCCGACGCAGCCTGAATAAACTGCGCCACGGCCGACTCCTCAAACAGAAGAGGACAAAAAGGTGAAGAACGCCTAAGAGCCAGAGCCCAAGCAGATTCCATGGAGGAACCCAGCACCGCCTGCCGACACGTGAGACAGGAAGCATAAAACAGGGAAACCGCATCCCGCAAAATCGGTGTGAACAGCTTCAACAAGGCAGCCGATGAATGCGCAGCCGAGGACAAAGGTGCCGGACCCCGGGACGGACCCAAGCGTCCCCACATCCTCCACGAGCCAATCCGAAGACAGCTCCAGGAGAGAAAAAAACCACAAGGCCGAAGCAAAAAGGCCCCGGGGCGCACAAGTCCTCCGCAACGAGCGCCGCCGAAAGGGAGGGAACCTGCACATGGAGCTGAATAATGCCCACATCGCAGGGAAGGGCAGGGGCAAACAAGCACTCATTCAGGTACTCAAGTTCACCCCCCAGGAAAACCTGAAGCACCGTGGAAGCTTCCCGCCACTCCAGCGTGCGGGAACGACAGAAGGAATGCCAGGAATCCAGACCAAACAAGGGGCAGTCTGCTAGCCAGGACAACTCCGGAACCTTGTAACGGAGCCAGAAAGGGAACGAAGTCCCAAACCTGAACGTGGACGGATCCATTTCCGAGGCATAATCCGGGTCACGCAGGAGGTAAGCAGCAAAGGCCGCTCGCATCACACCAGGTTGGATGCGATAAGCCGAAAACCTCCGGAAGGACGGAACCGACGTACCCGGGGGAACACGGAACCGAACCCGGGGAGGGGCCGACACCAAATCCAACTCGTACGCAGAGGGGGGAAAAGAAAACCCCACTCCTTGTAACAATAAGCCCCGCTCAGTGGGAAGAAAAAACCCAGGCGGGGTCCAGCGGGGCCCAAGGCCCCCAAGTCAGCCCCTCCCCAGCCTCGAGGTCCTTCACCACAGGACCCGAGGCCGAGTCCTCTCCCCAAGCCCCGACCCCACAAGACAAGGACGGAGCAGCCGGAAAAGCTGGAGGAAGGGGGGCCCACTGGTCAGACCCTGAAGCTTCGGCCGGGAGACAAGACTCGAATGCCTCTGCCGCCCCCCTGGAAGGGGCACCCCCCGAAGCTGCCCGAGTCTCGAGATCAAGTAACCCCTGCTCCGACCCCGAACCCTCAGACGCTTCGGGGCCGGAAGCAGGGGCGGGGGACCAGAACGAACAGAACGGGAAGGACGAGGAGGTGCGGACTGAACTAGGATCGAAGCGACCCCCACCCCCAAGTCCGGGTCTCGAAAAGCAAAGCGGGGCAGCCCCGGGGCATCCGGGGAAGCAACAAACCGAGCGCGTTGCAACAGACGAAACCGAGACTGCAACGCACGCGCCGCCTGTACCCGAATAGAATCATCAGAGGATTGGGTAAATTGAGTCACAAGCAAGCAGCAACACTCACAGGACTCAGGGTCGAAAGCATCACCGACCCAACAGGCAGCGTGGCAGGGGCAAAAACAATGAGGGTCACCCTGAGACAAGGGGACCGAGCAACCCTCAAACTCGCACACAGCCTCGCACATTGGGGCCTCGTAGCCTGGTGGATAGCGCGCAGGACTCGTAATTCTGTGGCGCGGGTTCGATTCCCACACGAGGCAGAAACAAATGGGCAAAGTTTCTTTCACCCTAAGTGCCCCTGCTACCTAGCAGTAAATAGGTACCTGGGAGTTAGTCAGCTGTCCACGGGCTGCTTCCTGGGGTGTGTGTGTGGTGTGTGTGTGGGGTGTGGGAAAAAAAAAAAAAAAAAAAAAAAAAGGTAGTTAGTAAGTTAGTAAACAGTTGATTGACAGTTGAGAGGCGGGCCGAAAGAGCGAAGCTCAACCCCCGCAAAAAACAGAACTAGTAAACACAACACAGCGAGTGGGGACTCCGGGGTCACATCCATCGGACCCACGCGCCCCTAGGGGATTCCCAGGGTCCTGAGCGTTTACTTTAAGAGGACTCGCGCTCAGGTAGTCCCAGGCAGGGTGCTGCAAACGGCACCCAAAACTACCAAGCAAACTTCTAAAGCTGAACCCCAGGGACGTGTACACTCACGGGGACCTAGCAGGGGGCGCCACCGAGGAGAACAGTGGAAGGGCAAAAATAAACTGAATAAAAGGCAGCAGAACCCCCACCAGGCAAAAACAAAAAGAAAAACAAAACCCCGCAAGAGGACAGCGAACCCCAAGGAACAGAGCCGGCCCGCTATGTCAGGAATACAAGCTGTGCAGCACCCTGCGCCCCTACCAGTGCAAACTGCCTCTTACCTGCCGTTAACAAGGGAGAACAGAACACCCAAGAGCCTAACAGGCGGCCGAAAAACCGAAAGGTAAAACGGACCAGCAGAGGCAGACCCCGAGGAGCCTGTGGAAGGTGGCCCCAAGCTCCAAGGGCAGTACTTACAGGGCACCTAGGGAAGGCAGCCCTAGGCGCATGCATCCCAAGTACTGAAGATAACTCCTGGCTCTCGCACCCACAAAACAAACACCACACGCAAAGCACAGTGCAGTAGCGACACCGGAGCCAGAGCACACGACCATCGCCTATAGCATCAGCCTCAAGAACTGAGGTGTGGGTAGCCGGCGTGGAGGGTCTGGGGCTACCCTTTCCCCCTCCCGGGGAGGGGGGAGCTGCGCAGACAGCGGCGTGGCGGCGTGTGACGTCACACTAGTTTGCTTGTTTTCTGTTGGGGAGTTCTATCCACTAGTTCGGCTTTTGGTAGCAATTTTAACCAGAATAGGGGTTTGTTTTGAGGCGCTTACCTTTCTGGGTGCCTGTTCCAGTCGATGGCAGACATAGAATGCTTCCACCCACACGGGGGCTTCTATAGGCCATTGCTCCCCTTGCCTCTCTGAGGGGGTCCGTTTCTGGCTGTGGTCCCCGGTAGGCCTAAGAACTCCATACACATGACTAATGCCAAAGTTTGACATTATCATATCAGCCTGGGATAGCTCCGGGGAGCCGACGGGGCTCCCCTCAGAAAAATATTGAAAAAAAAAAAATCTTTTTTTTTTTTTCTTAAAATTTTTTTCCAATTAAACTAATTATAATATTTGTTTAATATATGCTATTGTGATAGCAAAGAGTCGTAGCTCTGATTTCAGTTGACACTTTTGATTGATAATCGATTTTGACCATTTTTTGCATAATTTTCACAACTACTTCAATATTTTTTTCTCCCTTCCTATTTATGCTACGATGCTGAAACTTGGACCAGATGAAACACTTTTCATATAGAACTTGTCAAAAAAGTTTGATTGAAATCGAACAAGTTTTCATTTTTGGACCCAGATGCCAACCAGACGCTCCCTTAAGAAACAAGAGGGTTCCAAGAAGGAAGAATGGAGGACTAAGGACAAAGCTGCAGTGTCAGGGATACTAAAGAAGATAGGAATGGAGGGAGCTGCACAAGACAACAGTTTTTCCAGATTGGCCAGCACAACAAAGACAAAAAGAGATTGATCAAGGTAGTATTCAGGAACGAGGCCATCAAAGTGGACATACTAGTAAAGAAGAGCAAACTGAAAAATGCAAGGAATTACAAAGATGTATACCTTCAGAGGGACATGACCAGAGGCGAGATAATAAGGGCAGCAGATGCAAGGAAAAGGCGCAGGGAGGGAAGGGAGCCAGGGAACCTCTGCCTTCAACCCAGCAATCCCAGGGGGGGGTGGGGAACCCCAATCCAGCAATCCAGGAACCCTAGAGGGGACTGCAACACCACAACTCACCACCCCTTAAGGCCCCCTCCCATCCCCAGCACATATCCTTCCTTGCCCCTCCCTGCACAATGCCCATCATATCACCCAAATCCCTCCCTTTCCCCCTACCCCCAGTATCCCCTGCCTTCCCATCCCCTGGTCTTCTTCTGGCCCAAGCAAGCCCATGCGAGACCTAAGCCCTCCATCCCCCACCCTACCTCTCCCCAAACCCCTGTCAACTACACCACAGGAGGGCTTGCCCTCACCCCCGAGCAATCCCTGATCCCCCAACCCCATGCACTCCCTGCCCCTCCACCCCCAGGAATTCTTCCTGACCCAAGCAGGCCTGGGCAAGACCTAAGCCCTCCATCCCTCACCCCATCTTCCCCTGAACCCCTGGCAACTACCTCACAGGAGGATGAGCCTACCCAAGTAGCAATGCCCATTCAACAACTTCCTACACTTGTGGGGAAAGAGAGTGAAAATGGATATAGGAAAGTGAGCTTCAAGGTAATGTACTCAAACATCGATGGGATTACCAATAAAGCGAATAAACTGGCAGAAAGGGTACAAGAAGAGAACCCAGATGTAATAGAACTCACGGAAACAAAACTGTCAGGAGTCATAACAGATGCTGTGTTTCCAAAGGACTACCATACAGTGAGGAAAGAGAGAGAAGGGAGAGGAAGTGGAGGAGTGGCCCTGCTGATAAAGAAGGACTGGAGTTTTGATGAGATGGAAATTCTGGACTGTGACGGATTCAGAGATTACATAACAGGAGCTATGACAATAGGTGGAACTCAGAATGTGAGTTTCTATAGGCCATTGCTCCTCGTGCCTCTCTGAGGGGAGGCCAGGTTCTGGCTCGTAGTCCCCGGTAGGTCTAAGAACTCCATTCACACTGACTGATGCCAAAGTCTAACATATCCATATCAGCCTGGATAAGCCTGGATAAGCTCCGGGAAGCCGTAGGGGCTCTCCCCAGAAAAATTAAGTATTGGCATTTCCTCATGCATTTGATATTTTTATATATGAACAAATACTTTAACAAAATTATTATACACAGAAATAGTGAAGCACTGTACCTGGCTACAGATTGAGTTTCTCCTAAATTCTCTGCAAGGCTTGGGAATGAATGGGTGCAAGAGACACCAATAGATTCAACACCACCTGTGTCAGGACCCATGAAATCCCCAAAGTCTTCATCTTCCTCATCACATACACCAATCTATAAATTAAATAATAAACTTGTTTAATGATTAATCAACTGACTACAACAATATATCTCAAGGCAAAATGCATGTACGAGTCTATCTCTTCTGAAGTTAATCTCAAAAATGGTGACTGGAGCTCAAAACGACTTACACTCAGCTGTGGAACTGGTAGCGAGCCTGTTGAGGTACTGCTGATTGGCATGCTAGGAGTTTCCTCAAACTCTCCAAATGGATCACTCCAGTCATTCATTTCCTTCTTCTTCTGTTCTATTTCTGCACGTTTCATTGCCTCATGAATATCAGCATAATTATCTGACTGAGTAGATGCTGCAAATGCACCACCAAAATCAGCTTCAAAATAACTGTCTACATTGCTCTCTGGTATCATTTCTGGTGGAGTGCTATAAACCTCAAAGCTGACAGGTGAAGTGTTGTTGGTCCCAGGCCCTGCACTAGTCGTAGTTGGAATAGGAGGAAAACTAGATTGTGAGACTATTAGACTAACAGGTTCACTGCTACAAAAGTCTCCAAAACTTTCATCGGCAGTTTCAGCACTATGTGGCAAAGGCTCTGAAAGATTAAGCCCACATTCTTCTTCTGAAGGAACCTCCAAATCTCTAAAAACTGCATACTTATCTTCTGACTGACCTGTTTTCTCTGGTTGCAATAGCATTGGTGCACCTTGAGAGGGTTCAACAGATGATGCCGTAGTAACATTCTGGCTACTGTGGCTATGTGCAACTGGGAAAACTGACTGGCCCATATGGCTCATACGTGTGGACAACGATGCCACACTAGAAACAGCTGCACTTTGGAAATCATCAAATTCGTCATCACAGGTGTGGTCAAAACTGGTACTAGGAGAAAGTTCAGGAGAAAATCCTACTTTAGGAAGATTCATTCTCTTTATTTTATCCACACTAGGAATTGAAGGTTTCTGACTATGCTGTGAGGTTACTCCTGATCCAGAAGGCCCAACAACAGGCATTTCTAGCCTAGCTTGAGGATGAGTCTGTCCTGTAGTGCTTTGCATCTGCTGATTTGTAAGAGAAATGCACTGAGATAAGTGTGCTGCTGCACTTTGACTAGGACCACTGACAAAATCATCAAAATCATCGTCATTACTAATGGATGAAGTTTGTTCATTGTTAAGTAAAGGATCCACTCCTGATACTACATTTTCTTTGCTGTTTTCTGTCTGTGTTTGTTGTTGCTGTTTTTGCTTAAGATAATCTTGGACAAGGGGAAGGAGGGCTGGATGGTCAATAATGGGCAAAATAGGCTCCCTTAGTGTGCTGAGTACTTCTCTATTTGTTATGGTTTGGCCACTCTGAAAAAAAAGTGTAGTTAGTTTAACACCAAAATCAAATCAAATACTGTACAGGTGAAAATTTACATTCAAAACAGAAAATAAGTAATACTCTCATCTATGAATATGAATGCACCCACATATAACCAGACTCTTGAAAAAATTATCCTCCCAGAGGGTATAAAAACTAAACTGTATGCACTACCCTTCATCTAAATACAGTGGTACCTCGAATAACGATCGTATGGCGACCGCTCGTTTGAATAACGACGACACCACATGGTGGGGTCGCGCTGCTTCTTGCACATTCTCGGATGCCTCCGACGATGCAAATAAATTTTGTTTTTGTTTAACCCTTAAAGTGCGCATCACGTCATATGACGTGTTGGACGTTGTTCCAGTCAACTGCGCATCACGTCATATGACGTGTTGGAGTACTACGCAAGATTTAAACGGCCCGCGGATACACGGGGTTCACCACACCTTCATCAGGGCTCTTGTAAACACACGCCATTTAAAAAAAAAAATCGTGGTTCAAACTCCCGGGTGTTATTGGCCTCAGTATTGAGTGAGCAACCAAGCCTGACGCACGGAGCATGAGCTAACAGCACTGCTGTTCAGCTTGTGACCACAGCATCGCCTAAAAATGCCAAAATATACTTGTTCATGCTATTATGTAGCGATGATATTATTACAGAAGACCCCTGACTGTGATAAAACTGACCAGGGTTCTGATAATAGCAGGATTGTGGTGATATTTAGCGCTGTGCGCCATGGAGGGAGGAGTAATGCTGTGGGAAGGAGAGTGGTGGCGATGTCTTCTGACTGTGTGTGGCCCACCTTTTATTGACTGCACTCACCATACCAGCTTAGTGGTTCGCTATGGTGAACACAAATGTAGATACTTATATATAACGTGTGTATAGAGGGTATAAACAGCAAGAGAAGGTTTGGAGCCGCCATTTTGGTGAGGGCGGTGGCGTCGTCTGCATGACGCCACCGTGCAGACGACGGTACTGTTTACTGGTTACCACGATGGTCTTTGGGCCCCATACCAGTTTATTTGTACAAGTATGGTGAATAAAACAGGTAGACATTTATATATAATGTTTGTATATAGCATAATAACACCACACAGTATTGTTGGAGGAGAAATATTAGTGCGTCTGGCCTTGAGGGCGGCAGCCATCAGCTGACTGTGTGAGGTCCTACGTCTTTGTGCCTTTACTCACCATATAAGCTTAGATGTACAGTTATGGTGAACAAAACGTGTAGATACTTATACATAACTTCTGTATATAGTGAATTATAGCAAAAACAGTATTGTGGGAGGAGAATGTGGGTGAGTTAGATGACTTGAGGGAAGGCGGGAGTGGCTGGCTGGTACACGGCGGTCACTCCTCGTTACTTTTTGACTCATAATAGCTACTTAGTGGTTCGTTATAGTGAACAAAACATGCAAATACTTATATATAACCTGTGCTTATAGTGTAATAACCGACAAAGTATTTGTTCACTGATTGATGAACATAATTGAATCAACAATATGCACACCATATTTTTGAGTACAGCAATGATTCACTCATTTTATTATATA